TGATGCTTTAAACACTTACATTGCTGGAACGAGTTAATTCTTTGGTGATAATCAGCTCCGAAATATCAATTCGATTACACAGCAGATCTGATATGACCTAAAAAAAACATTTTTAGCAAAAAATGGACGATTGAAATCCAAATTAACCAAAAAAAAAAATATTATTAATAGTCGGACATAAAAACAAATATTCGAGAGGTATCACCTTTTTCGCATGTTCCAGAGCACCAGTAGCATCGCCTTCCAATAACATTTTCTCCAGGCATGTGCTAAGAACTTTCGAAACCAGTGGGCAGTTGTCACGTCGAACTGTTTCCAGTCCTTTGCAATCAATTTTATCGTGTTTTTCAGGTCGCGTAAAATACAGACCCGCGTAGCGTTTCTTGGTAATCAACAGGAAAGGAGAATAAACCTGCAACAGAAAAGCCTAACTATGTCTTGCAAATGTGCTTTTTTTTCAGTATAGTGTCCAAGGGAAGTTGCATTTTGTGTAAGTGTTCAAATACGAAAACACAGCTCACTGTTCATTGCAACGAGTAAAAAAAAGCACTGTGAAGCAATCGGTACTTTAAATAATAATTCAAGTTACACAGCACAAAACTAATAGACAAAAAAACAAAAAATCCAAAAACGAGAGATCCAAGGAAACGGCTTCATACACTTTTAGGCTGCAATTGACTACGCACTAATACATCACTGATGCAACTAGCAGTCTCCTCAGACTATTCGCTATTGAATCTTTTCATCGCTGTTGCAATATTCAAAAAAATACAAAGAAACAGCGTACCTTTTCAAATTCCAATTTGATAGGAGGTGTAAATTTTTTGCTAACTTCTGTAGCAGCATGCAAGCCAAGCTCCATCGCCGACTTTATATCTTTCACACCAAATTTGACCATTACTGAATCAGTATCACCATAAATAACCTGAAAAATTTCGTGGAAAAATAATAGAGCAAAATTTCATTATCACCTAAAAATCAGCAAAAACTTGTTTTCCCCGCCCGAAATTAAAAGAAAACTGTGTGGCCATCATTGCCGAGTTTTAGTAATGCAAGATAATTAGTGGGCAGTAATTAGACCAAATCAGAAGGAACTCCATTTGCTTACCTAAAAATGTCAAAAAAAGCAATTCACTTACCTGAGCATCACATGGGCATTTGCCATCCAGATAACCTTTTTTATATATCTCTTCAACGGTATTTTTTGTAAAATCAATCATCTGACGACCGAAAGCGGTGACTGACTGGGAGATCTCCAAGCAAGGCAATTTTCCGACCGAAGCACCAGTAAAACCGTAAACTGAGTTTGCTGATATTTTTAGTGCCAACTGCCTTCCGTTCAAAACCATACAACTGAACTGGATGCAACAGTTATTGAAACAAAAAATGCTCGATTGGTTAATCATATTTGTAGTCTCTCTGTTTTATTTATTTTCCATCTTTTCCCATATGCACTTTTTTATCACCCAAACGCAATTTTCCTCCTCACATAGACTCTTCCTAATGAAATAAAACGTAATGGGAATTCATTTTTTGCTGTAAATGGGCGGTTGAAAAAACACAAAAAAAGGCAACAGTTTCGTCAAATTTATTATGATCTGCTCGCTCACAAGAAGTCTTCATTAAATAACCATGAAATATTTTAAAATGCCCCGCAGAGAACACATGAAATGTGAAATTTCCAAGAGTTAGTTGATAAAAATTCTTGCCTTTTCAGCTGGTAAAAACAGCATCAAATTTCCACTCAATAATACCTCAGGAATTTTCATAACTAATTTAAAAATCTAATCCGAAAAGAGAAATATGACTGGAAAAAGTTTGATCAAAAGCAACAACTCACCGAAATGGATCTTGTTCATTCTTTAACTCATTTTTTGCTCGTTTTCTTGCACTCAATAAATCTTCTAAAACTTGCGGTAGCAAACCACGTCGAAGATGAGCTTTCACAAAGCGATTGTTGGACGGCGTTACTTCAAAATCGCTCTCCGCTAAGCTATAATCAAAATGCAAGATTACCAACACAACAAGGCATTAAAAAAAAAAAACAGAGCTAGAAAAATGGGGAAAACAGACTTAACAATTTCTTATAGGTTCACTCTACACACTTTAATAACTTATACCAATTAGGGCTAAAAATTGGACTCTAAAAATCCGAAAAAAACGT